TGGGGGGGGGGGGCAAAGAGGCTCTGCCACCCCCAGACCAATCATGGACTGTGGGCAGGGAAGCCTGGAAGTATCCTGGCCCTACCCCTTCTGGTGCGGCCCGGGGCCCCCAGCAAAAAATTATCGCCCACCCCTGCCTTAGACTGGAAATCTGTGCTCTGTATAGTCACTAACATGCAAGTCAGCCTCCCTCTAGTGCACAGGGGGGGGGGGCAAAGAGGCTCTGCCACCCCCAGACCAATCATGGACTGTGGGCAGGGAAGCCTGGAAGTATCCTGGCCCTACCCCTTCTGGTGCGGCCCGGGGCCCCCAGCAAAAAATTATCGCCCACCCCTGCCTTAGACTGGAAATCTGTGCTCTGTATAGTCACTAACATGCAAGTCAGCCTCCCTCTAGTGCACAGAAAGTCCTTGACCAGTAATGCTGCTCCATGGAGTAGTAGTGGCAGTTTGTGAATGTCTTTTGCTGGAAGTACCAGTAATTGTGTTTCAGCAGCCCAGGCAAGAGTTTGAGCCTGAATTGTTATGGCAGGATTCTTTCCAGAAGAAGGGGCAGCAACTTTTAACTGTCTCAACAGGCGTTGTGGGATTATGCTGCTGCATGAACTGCCTTCTCAGAACAGGGAAAATTATTCATGTTTGCTTAATGGGAATGTTGAACTGTGGATAAAACTGACTGAAGGATCATAAACTAGGTAACACGTAGTAGAGGCTCAAGTTGTAGCTCTATGATGGGTATCTCTCATCTGCCCTGATCTTAATTAACATCCTTAAAGAGCTGGAGTGGCACATTTAATGAAACTAGCATGCGATACCAACAAAGGGAAGGGAACCCTAACGACAGAAATCCACTAAACACAAAGTAAAATCAGACCTGCCTTGGCTGGAAATGGAGCTGATGCATCTGGAGAAAACAAGTGGAAACGTGGTCCAAGGAAGCAGTGATCCCACGAGATTAAGGGACAACAAACCACAAACGAGATGCAGCCTTCTGTTCTGGAAAATGCTGCTGTTGCATAGACAAGCCCCTAGAATGCAGCACAGCTATGGTGCAGCAACGGAAGGGGGTTTCCATCACTCAGAAATCCACCTCCCTGAACAGGGTATTTAAGTCAGTGGAAGCATTGTTTGTGGAAGCACAGAGTGCTTAGTGATGTGACGTTTGCATGCTCCTGAGGGCTGTCCGAAGTAGCGATATTGACCTGAACTAAGTGTAGACCAGGCCCAAGGCTGCAACCAGAGTCAATTTCCAGAACAGGAAGCTCCTAGTCCCATGTACTGTTCCATCTTGCAAGAAATACTGACAAACCCTAACCTGGAGACAGCCCTGGCCATCCCCTAATTTTTGTAGGCCTCAGTTGCTAGGAAAAGATGAGCTTAACGTGTTGCTGGGGGTTCTGCACAGAACACAGGCCTGCAGGCATCTGAAGTTTGCTAATCTCAGGAGACAGATTGATTATTTAGTACAGTACATGTGAGATTACTAGAACTAATGGGCTGCAATGTACTCGATTCTGGAAGTGTCTCCAGGACAGTCTCCTTGTAAAGCAGACCAGGGAATACCACAGTAGGGAATTCTGTCATTGGCAGGGGCTGGATTGGATAATCTGTCTGAATGCTGGAGAGAGGGAGCTTTGTGGATTGTTTCATCAGTAACTAGTCATTCAAATATCTCTCTCTAATTTTTTAGCGCCAACAGAAATTGCAGAAGGAGCGTTTAATGAATGACTTCTCTGCAGCCTTGAATAACTTCCAAGCAGTGCAGAGAAGAGTGTCTGAGAAGGAGAAGGAGACAGTGGCCCGCGCTCGGGCTGGCTCTCGTCTCTTGGTGAGTAGTTGAAGAGTTGTATAGTGAATGCAGCCACCTCTGAAGTCTTATCACAAGGGCATATTTCACTCAAATATTTGGACTTCTCTGGCGACCATGAATGAATGAAAATGGGCATGTTGGTATTTTGTACGGCTACCAAACTGCTGAGATCAGTCTTCTCATGTGTATGCTTGGCTGCAGACTTCAGAACTCAGTTTGCTGTGTCTGTGTGCTAGCTCTTTGTATTCTGTGACACGGAAGTCTCCAATGCCTTGCCTGCTCGCAGTAGTACAGGAGGAGGAGGAAAGTCAGGCATGTGGCGAGGGGAGCCAAAACACAGCTGGAAGATTGTCAGCACTGGGTTACAGTTCCCCAAAAGACCTGTTAAATTATGTCCCTCCTTGGCTGCCTCTTGGCAGGCGCACTCTCCATATCCTTTCCCCTTCCCTTGGGTCTCCTTTGCCCGCTGCTTCCTCAGTGCAGTTTGCAATTTTCTTCTCACCCCTGTTCTGGGGATACCATCTCTGACAAGTCCCTGTGATTACGAAGGAGCATTCCTAATGGGCTGATGGCTTTAGAAATAGGTACACTGGTTGCTTGTAATTCCTTTCACCACATGCAATTACAAAAGACTTAAGCAAATTTGAGAAGGCTGGGGAGGGAGTGTTTCAGATGCCTCTGGCTTGCAGTGCTCCTGTAACTTGTGTAAAAGCCAAAGTAATGCGAGCATCTCAAAGATTCTCACTCTAGTCTGTTACAGCTCTTTGGCTCTACTAGTAAGAGTGCTGCCTTGCTATTGTTGGCTGTGCCCATGTCGCCTGTAGTTTGTAATGGTAATGAGCCTTTCCTCTCTTCCAGACTGAGGAGAGACTCAAAGAGGAGCAGCTGGTCTCGTTTGATAGGTAACAGCTACCACTTGCACTCCTGGGGGGCATTTCTCACATCCATCTGTGTGTAATTAATGCATTTGTATAGGAGACTGCATTAATGCAGCATTATCGCTGGACTCTGTGCACAGAGTCCAGGAAAGCCAATGCCTGCACCCTATGAAACATTTCTAAGGGCAGTTGTTAGATGCACCTAAATGGTGAGATGCTGTCTCCAGACATTTAACTGTTTCAAAACTAGGCTGCTTCACACATTGCTTCTTTTCCCGCCCAGAGATAATTAGCATTTCTGACCTCTCAAAACTTCTTAGCTAGCGAAAGCTGCTGGAGGGTTGTGGACATGGAACCTTGGTGCAGCTTTCCAAAGCTTTCACTTTGAGTGGAGACGCAGGAGGACCCCTCTCCTCATCCTGACCCTTTGACCACAGAGTCTTGTATTGCATTTGCTGGTTTGTCCATAATAGTGCCTTCCTGTAGAATGCTGTTGCTAATGCTGCCTCTCATAGATGCAGGTGATCTGGGGGTGGGGAGGACTGGCTGGCTCGCACGTCTCTGGTGGTGGCGACGGTGGTTTTCATTTTCAGTTCTTGATAGGATAGTGGATTAAACCACCAGTGCCACCCATCCAGCAGGTACCTTCAACCCACCCCCACATAAGGCATTCTCTGCCTAGTACTCCAAACAGCATGCTTCCAGTTTGCCCTCCATAGACTTCCATCAGTGCCCTTTGTTCTTTGGATGCCCTACAAACAATGCACAGCCCCAGCACAATAGAACATGCCAAGTTGCCCAGTAAGGACAACATACATCTTAGAGCAAACACCTTACACAGACCACCTTTTAGTTTCTTTACTGAGATTTTAAAGTATCCTCATGCAAAATCCCCTTTGTCCCATCTTCCCTGCAGTAGCCTGTCATTGTGAATCCAGTTTGTCTGGAAGTACAGCTACATGCCAGGATCACTCCATGCTCACATCCGCTCCTGAGTGGGGTTTGTGCCTGGCGGAAGCTGTCACTATCCTCTGGCATTGTGGCATGAATGGGGAGGGAAAGGCTCTGCGGCTCTTAGCCTGTGTTCTCTGTGCAGTAATGAAGACTGGAATCAAATGCAGTCTCAAGAACAAGCTGCAGCAATAACCGAGCAGGACCTGGAACTTATTCAGGAGAGGGAAACGGCAATCAGGCAGCTGGAGGTGAGCCCTGGAGCCTGCCGTTTGCAGCTCAGTTAGCAAAGGGACAAAACACAAGGGCCAAGCGCTGAGCTCTCGGCTCATCTGTCAGTGGGGAGGGATGGAGAGAGCTGGAAGCTGAGTGGGCCCAGAACTCCTTGTAGAGATGCTGAGTGATCCTCAGGGCTGGGTGCAGGTTCCACTCACCCATCTGCAACGCTCCAAAGATGGTAGGAGCAACAGCTTAGTTAAAAATTGCTAGTGCCTGGGGCAGCAGCTGAAAACATGAAGCTGCTGCACTTGGTGTGTATGTCTTGAAAGCTCTCACCTAACCTGGTACCACAACCTCTGAGAATCAACACCCATGTACATAAGAGCGGCCATACTGGGTCAGACCATGGTCTGTTTAGCCCAGTGTCCTGTCTGCTGATAGTGGCCAATGCCAGATGCCCCAGAGGGAGGGAATACAACAGGTAATCCTCACGTGATCCCTCCCCTGTCCATTTCCAGACAAACAGAGGCTAAGGACACCATTCCTACCCATCCTGGCTAATAGCCATTGATGGACCTAACCCCCATGAATGTATCTAGCATTTTTTTGAACCCTGTTAAAGTCCTAGTCTTCACAACATCCTCTGGCGAGGAGGTCCACAGGTTGACTGTGCACTGAGTGAAGAAAAACTTCCTTTTGTTGGTTTTAAACCAGCTACCTATTTATTTCATTCGGTGACCCCTAGTTCTTATCATATTGGAACAAGTGAATAACTTTTCCATGTGAGATGGGAATATTTCTATAGAGGGTGTTTAGTCTGTTAAGCTTTGGGCAGTGTTCCTAAGATGGAAGTAGATTCTGTCCCTGTTAATTGTCAGACTGCTATTTACTGAACTTTTGTCTTCAGGCAGACATTTTGGATGTCAATCAGATATTTAAGGATCTAGCTATGATGATTCATGATCAAGGAGACATGATTGGTAAGTGCACTTGGACAACAGATGCCTTGGAAAATAACTTTCTTGTTTCTGGCTTCTACACTTTTAAATTCTGTGTCAATGGAAAAATGGAGCTTGGCTGATTTGAACCACTGCAGCTATTCTAGATCAGTGCCATATGGTCACATATTTGGCTAATCTTTAATTTTACAGTTCTGAATTGGCTTTTAAAGTCACTTGAGTTCTCTCCCCTGTCTTTGTGTAGACAGCATAGAAGCAAATGTGGAAAGTTCTGAAGTCCACGTGGAAAGAGCCAGTGAACAGTTACAGAGAGCTGCTTATTATCAGGTAAACTCTTTTGGGTACTTTGCACTATCCGACAGAGTGGCTGGTGCTGTCACCACTTTGCAAAGGTACAGGGGCTGAGGTGGGACTAATTCTTCTAATGAACTTCATCTCCAGGACAAGAGGCAGCTACATGTGCTAATTGGCTTATCAATAAGATACTGGCAATTAACTCTGACTTTGGGGCACCTCTACTCATTGGAGGGGGGGTGTAGATCTGGATAACAGCTGAAGGTAGCTTCTGGGCTTTATCTCCAGTGCTGCATTTAGAATAGGCGTGGGCAAAATACGGCCCGCAGGCTGGATCTGGCACAACAAGCCACCAGATCCAGCACGTGGAGGCAGCAGGGAGTCCCAGGCTTCCCTACTTGCCCCACAGCCCTGCCTGCTGCTCAGAAATGCGGCTCCAGGCCCCATTTCTGTTTCAAAACTGGAGGGAAGGAGGGAAAGCTTCAGGAGCTGCTCCTGCCCCCAGCACTATCCCATTGGCTGGCTTCTGGCCAGAAACTGGCCAGTGGGCGCTGCCTGTTTAAATAACAGGCAGCCAAGAAGAACTACGCCCCCTCTTCTGGCTCAGTTATTCACTGAAGCACATGGCTGGGCAAGCAGGCTGCCTGGCTGGGAAATATTTTAAACTCTGCAAGCCTTTAGCTCAGCAGGCAGGCTGGTTTGGCAGCTGGCTGGTAAGTCTCTTGGCCAGAGCCTGCCTCTGGCACCCCAGTCCCTCCCTTCCCCAACCCTCTGCCCCCCACTCAACATACCCAACGTCTGTCCCCCTTTTGCACCCATATCCCCTTCCAGATCTGGCACCCCAATCTCCTTTCCCAGATCACAATCCCCTAAGTCACATCCCAACCCCTGCACTCCAGTCCCCTGCCCTAAGTCACAACTGTCTCCTTTGCCCAAACTCCCTCCCCGACTCCATTCTCCCTTCTGCACCCAATCTCCATTCCAGACCCAGCACCTCTTCCATTAATATTATGGAAGAGTGCAGCCCTCGACCACTTTCCAAAATCTTAAGAGTGGCCCCCCCGTCAGAAATTATTGCCCACCCTGATTGAGAAGATAATGGAGAACACGCCTTAGCAGAAACAGGTGATTGTGTTGCAGTGGGGAGGCTACAAGGCTGCTCTTCAGACTGATGCAATAAATCTGAGTTTTCCAGCCTAGGCAAGATTGTACTACCCAATGCTTACCACCGACGCCAACACTCTCACCCCCATTCACAAAAAGCTTAACAGGTGACACCTGCCATTTAAACCCCTTGATACATGGATCCCTTTGTATTGGGCCTCATGCCTCTGGACTTGCCTTGTCTTGCCACTTGCTGCTCCACTCCTCCCAGCTGACTTGGTTGTCCCCCTGCTCACCCATTCTCCCTCTTGAACCAAACAGCCAGCAGCGTGCTCAGCAGCTTTTCAAAGCCCCGTTTTTGGCCACTTGGCTTCACTTGCTAGAGTTGGCTCGATGGCTGGTGCCTCCAGCCTGCCGCATCGGCAGTTCAGCCTGTAGCAGGACAAAGGTTCAGACCCGGGTAGGCCTCCGTCCTCTTGGGCCAGGGCAGGAGGCGCATGGAGACAGGTAGGAGGAAGCAGCAGAGCAACAGTTCTCTGTTCCTGGCTTCAGCTGTGAGGAAGGAAAAGGGGCAGGGCTAGCAGCGGCAACTGTTCCTCTGCTTGCTCCTGGCCTTGGAAATGCAGCTGCTGTCCCCACCCAACAGCCTGCAAAATCAGTGTGTCCAGGACAGCTTCACCGTGTCACCAATCTGCATGTGTTCCAGGCACTGCTCATGCTTGCCTGGGGCTGCATGGTTGTGTTGAGGGGTCTACTGCAGGCCCTCAGGTTGGATGGGAATAGGCTAGAGGTCGTTACATCGAAGAGCAGAAGTCGTGACTGTCCGACTGTCTCGTGCAGAGTTCCAAGAAGCTTCTTAGCACAGCTGGTTCAGGCTCGCAAGGGGAGGTGATATGTGGATAAATGATGCTTTTGAAGAATCCAAACAGCTAGGAGCGGTATGACTTCTATAGCAGTCGTGTCCTGCTGCGCCATGGTCAGCCAGGCATTGTGAGATGGTGTCATCAGCTCTCTGGGAACCTTTTCTATTCTCCTCGTGGGTCAAGGTAGCTGTGCCGCTGTCTCCGGTACAGAACACTGTACTTTGCTGGGCTCCTGGCATCTCCTCTTGTCTGCGTCTGGATCAATATTTGTTCTGTTTCTTTCATTAGAAGAAATCTCGTAAGAAGATCTGCATCCTGATCCTTGGCCTTGCTGTGGCTACCATAATCTTAGCACTCGTAATCTGGCAGACGGCAAAATGAAGTCCTCGTATGGAGTCTAACTTCATTGCAGAGTGTTTCCTTGGGAAAACCGGCTGAAAATGAATTGACCACCTTGAGAGAGCACAAGCCAGAATGTCCCCTAGTAATAGATTTAGAAATGAACATGCAGATAACTAGTACTTGGAATTAGTGAACCATGGAGACAGTATTGACCATTTATGTACAAATTCTGTTGCTTTATGTAACTAAACTATCTTGTGGGGTTTTTTGCTTTCTGTATTATATTAGGGTTACTCCCTGTCCTGACTGTGTTTTGAAGAATGTGATCAGTAGTTGATGTTTTGCTTTGGACAATGCACTACAATTCTTCTAATGTGTTTCTATGTACAGCTACACTTCGTAGGAGTGATGTAGGAATTCCTTCCAAAGAGTGCACAATGCTGATTCTCCCTTTCCATTGGCTCGGCGATTCCTAAAATCTCTTTCTGCCCCATGGTTTGATTAGTCTCCAGATGGCCATAGCTCTGAACTCTTCAAGAGAAACTTTACCAATCCTCCTTTGAATGGTGAGGATTAAAATGCATGAATGCTGAAGTCAGACCCATAATGGGCTCAGTGCCTGAGGAGTTTAGTCCCTAGATAACTGTTTTTTATTCATTTGCTAGTGGGGGTTTTCACATCGGTGACTAGAGGCGATGCAGCATTTAACATTAAATATTCTCCCAATACATCCTTGCTTAGCGAGAATGTAGCTGGGGTCTTATCGTTGTCAGACACTTAAATCTGCCCACTTAGCACTGCCACCCCTTGCGTAGAATTAAAACATTGCTGTTGAAACACTCCTATGGCATAAGCAAGCTTGAAATCTGGAGCTACATAGATTTAGTTTTTAACTAGATAATATGACCACTTCACACTTTTAATGGTGGTTTTTAAATGTGTTTTCATTGAGACAGCCAGGCATGGCTGGAAACAGAGCCCCAGGGTTTACTGAACTTTCTTGCTGGTTTGCATTAGCCAGACTGAATTGTTTAGAAATGACTCTTGAAGCTCTACTACTAGTTAAAAATGTGGAACTTCTGCTAAAATAGGTAGAGTGTATTTTGTGAACTACAGTAATACCAGTTATGAAGAGATTATGAAATGTCCATAAGTAATAAGGAATTTGGCTTAGTACATGATTGGCAGTGTTAGAATGGCAGAGGTTATTGCTTAACAATGGAAGAGATCTCTGGTTCTACTTCTTGGATTGTAATAGGAGTAGATAGCACCTACCTGCCACCCCCATTCTTCATTGTGATTGAGCTGAAATGCGCTGATGGGAAAATAAGACTTTAGCTAAAAGTGCATCATGGGCAGCTAACTGCAGCATACAGACTCATTTTGTATTTAACCTTTATTCCATGTTTGTCTTAGTTAAAATACTAAACTAAATGTGAAAACTGCGGAGGGAATGTGTTTTCATAATTGCACAATTTTTTTGCACTATTGCACCATCATTCCATCCAATAACTGTCAATAAACATTTTTAAAAGTGTTTGATCAGTGTCTTTCTCCTACCGTTTGAAGTGTAGGCAAACTCCTTGTGCTAGAGAAAATGAAGTCACTAAAGCTGCAAAATATATTTCCTGGAGCTGACTTGCCTAGATAGGCTAGAAGGCTGTTTTCATTCTAACCATTCTTGCTTGTGGCATTTCCAGTGTTCATTTCTGTAGTGCAAGAACTTCCATGTGTGCAAAGTGAGCAGGAACTCACCTGCGCATGTGATCTGCATCCTGAAACTCTAATTACACTTTAGTTAAAAGTACACTGAATTTGGTCCCTTACTGAACATGGTTGGGAAGTCCTGCTCTGGGTAAGGGGAGTGGACCAGATGTCCTCTCCTGGTATCTTCCAGGCCTTTGATTGTATCATGTGCATTGAAAGACCTGCCTACCATCACAGTCCTGTAATGACTGTTTGTGGAGTTCATCCCACCCTGTCTGCTTTAAGGGGCAAGAGACCTCCATGTCAGTGCATGCTGCTCCTGGCACCGGCGGGCATAGCTCCTAAGAGCCACACCTTTGCCTCCTCCATGGACAGTGTGGCGTCTGCTGTTTTGACTGGAAAGTGCCTGCAGTGTTGTGCTGCCTGTGTTTCAAAGTGACTCCTGTGTGCCCTGTGTGGGGGATGTGCCATGGTTGTTGCAGCTTGAGAATAGACTAGAAAGCTGTGGCCTTTGCTGCTAAATGATCTGTGACCAAGCTTCCTCCTGCAGATGCTGTGCCCAGTTTCTGGTGCTTGACAGCTTTCCACCTCTGGGTTTGAATTCCCTGGTTTTGCTCTTTGGCCAAGCAGTTCTCACCAGCCTGTTGCCCTGTGGGTGTCTCCAGTGGGCACACCTGAGAGTCCTAGCCCACCCTCCTGCCCACAGTTCTAACACATGGAGCAGGGGCAGTTGGAAGGCTGATGGGACGGAGCTCAGATGTTACCCAATATCTCTCTCCTAGCACTGATGGTCTCACCCTTCTCTGCACCATTCCACCCTATTTACTTCCAGGCCCCCCTGGCCAATGGAAAGAGGCCTGCTCTGGAAGGGGCCGAAGTCCACCGCCCACCCGAGCGACTAGGCAGCTCCTTCTCGTGTTCCAGTTAGGGCAAGTTTAGCTGCAGTTCCATTGCAGTGATGTGTCCTGCTACCCGACCCCAGCGTGACCTTTGCCTCCTTTCCATTCTGTGCCAGGAGAATGGGTGGCTCCAGTTTTGCCTGTTTCAAACTTTCTAATAGTGCGGAGAACAGATTCTACAGTGCAAGCTGGGCATGGCCCAACCTCTGTCACCATCTTGGTAGCCATCTTGGAAAGACCCCTGCTGGTCCTGCTAGAGCCATCAGCTTGCCTGCACCAGGCTACAGCCCAGGTCTGTTCAAAGAGGAAGACCAGAATCTGAAAAAACCCTTCTTTATGTTCCACATTTCAGAAGAACTACACGGTGCTTTCTCCTCTCCAGGAGCAGTTAAAATGACGTGCCCGCACTGGCTCTTAATGCACACAACACGTGCTCTGCTTTCATACAGAGCTCTTGCAAAAGGAAGTTGCATTTAAGCAACATTAATTAAAAAGACAGCAGGCCCTGCTGCAGAAGGAAAATCGTGCTGAAGAAATGGGTTTTTGTTTCCATGCTTTTTCAATTTTATTTTTAATGAGTGTTTAAATGGTAGGGAATTTTTTATAAGACTCAAAGAACTAGATAAATTTAATGGAAGGCAGGTCCGTCAATGGCTAATAGTCAGGATGGGAACGGGTGGCCTAGTCTGCTTGCCAGAAGATGGTTGAGTGACAGGATGGATCATTTGATTCTATTTTCATTCCCTCTAGGGCACTGATCACGGTCAGAAGACAGGCTATTCTTAAGTCTCAACCCAAGACACCTGGGGAAAATTCTCTCAAAACCCGATCTGCCAATCAGTCACAGCAGAGGTCCACTCCATCCAATGGCCAATCTCTGATGCTTCAGAAGGTGGCAAACTATAAATACCACCAGCAGCCATGGAATACATTTGGCTGGTTATGCATTGGGGAGGGGCAGTTCTGTCCTGACCAACCCATGAAAGCTGGGGAGTACGAGATTTGAAGAGTCAACTCATCATGCAGAGCTGCAGCTGTTATAAGCATGTTGAACTCAGATTCATGGATTCCCGGGCCAGGCAGAACCATTATAACCATTCCATGTGAAATCTGCCCTCCCTCCATCCCCTTAGGCAGTAGGGTTTTTCCCAGAACCTGGATAAAAGCATATATTTTTAAATGAGTTACTAGAAACAGAGAAACCAGTAGACCCCTCTGTGGATACAAAATTTTTATCTGAATACACAAGTGAGCCACAGATGTGGATACTCAGATTATAAAGTGGGTATCCATGAATTTTCAGGGCTCTAGAAATCAGATAATTTCATGTGGAAAATAAGATCTCCCCCTTAAACGCTGCCCTAACAGTTTCTTTGATCAATGATCTCTACATTTTTATTTTATAAAAACAGACAGTGATCAGATGATTTTAGCAGTTTCTTTTCTGAGCCTAGGTGAGATTTACCAATGGGATAAGAAGGGGAGATACGCTTTCTTAAATGCAAACTCTTTTCTCAGTACTAACAGTTACGTACAAGAAAAGATTAAGGAAGGCTGGATTGCAAGTCCATAGTTTTCATCTTGACATGAAAACCTGATTTTGATGGTGTCTAAGTAAATCCCTGCTACCTGGTATTTGCCCTGGGTGGTCTTCCACAGGGAGAGAATCTAGAGAAAGAAACAGATGTGTGAGAAAGGTAAGGTAGGTGTGTGAAAAGAGCTTGCTGCTTTGAGTAGTGTCCCCATGAGTGCGGCATTTCAAAGTGCCCAAAGCCTGGACTCAGCTGACACCGGCTTTGTGTGGCATTTCAAAGTGGTAGCAGTGCAGGGAGCCTGGGATCAGATGGGGACTACCTACCTGACTCCGGGTTCTGTAGAAACGCCTCGTGCAAGGTCAGCTAAGGAGTCCCCAGCTGCCCCCAGGCTCCACATGGCAATGCCACTTTGAAATACTGCAGTGGTGTTTCAAAGGGGAAGCACCGCACAGCTGCTCCTGGGCTCCATCTGGTGCTGCCCCTTTGAAACACCGCCACAGCTGGTTCCAAGACTCAGAAATGAGTTGCTCCCAGGGCTGTGTCTAGACTGCACCCCTTTTCCGTGACAGGGATGCAAATTAGACACATCGCAATTGCAAATGAAGCGGGGATTTAAATCCCCCTCCCCCGCTTCATTTGCATAAAAATGGCTGCTGCTTTATTTCCAGTGCGGAGCTTTGCGGGGAAAAGCGCCCGGCTAGCCGCGGATCTGTGGGAAGATAAACCCGTTTCCAGACGCTCCCTCAGTGCTCGGCTTGCTGAAAGACCCGCGTCTGCACGGGCGCTTTTCCGGAGGGGACCCAGCCCGGAGCCGCCCCGGACACGGGCCAGA